TGCTTTCAGCGCAGTCGACCCATTTCCACTTACCCATTGTCTCCATTATCAGTGTCTCTCTTTCCCTGGCTTACTATCAACCCCCTAACTGTTTTTCTGTCTCTCTGTCTCTCTGGGCTCTGCTTTCACTTGTCCGCTCACTTGGGTGGAGCAGAACTTAAATACCTTTTACTAGCTACTGTAAGTTCTAAGAAAGGGTCACTAGACTCGAAATGTTATCTCTGTTTTCTATCCACAGATGCTGCTGGACCTGCTGAGTTTCTACAGTAATTTCTGGTTTTTGTTTCAGATCTTCAGCATCAGCAGTTCTTTGTTTTAATTTACTTGTTCACTCTGTGCTGTTCTATCCATTTTGGAGGTGAGCTAATTGATTAGTGCTTGTTTTAACTATCCAACCAATCCGGCCTTAGATTAGATTCAACATGTCGTAAATTTAGTGCATGCCAAATGTGAATCTCATTTTGCAGGAGTAATGTTCAGTTCAGCAAGAATATTTACCAGCTCCCAGAGAGGGTTTCTTGGACAGCTTGTTACGGGTTAATAATGAGTACCCATCATTAGGTGCCTATTTAATCTGCTTAAGGCACTGTTTATGTTCAGTGGGATATAAATAGTGAGAGTCAGATTAAGTAAATATTATTTTCTCCAGGTCACTTTTAGCAATATTTTCAGAATCCAAAATGTCGACCCTTTCATTCATACGGTGCTTCAGCTGCAGTATGATACCTTTCAGTCATGCTTCCCTCCACCTTTGCTTTGTCCCAAATCTTTAATAACGTTTAGTTTACCTCTTTAAAAACCTTTTAGTCTGCTGTTTCCCTTGATATGACTCTTAACTATATTTCCTTAAGTCAAAGACAGTCTCATTTCAACATTTATAGCGCACAACTAGTTTAGCCATTGATCACAAGATCTGGCTGGATCACATTACATGCTGTTGGGCCATGTTTTCATTTACCCAAACAGGTCATCTTGGAATATAAGTATAAACCCACCTTTTTCTTTTCTCAACTGGTAACTTGCTCTGTTTGTTCCTTTTCATTGTACTATCATCTTGGCCTCTAACTCAAAGTATGAGGAATTAAGAATCAAAGTTCAATGTTCTTTGTCATGAAAATTCAGAGTGGCTTTTCATTTCTCTCTGATAGATCCTTCTATTTATTCACTGAGCCAAACTTTCCCAAGCCTCCCCCTATCCTAACCCAAACTCTGTGTCTTTATCTAGATTCACCTCTCATGCCCTTTCCAAGGTCAGCTAGTCCATGAAACCTTCTACTGCTCTTGACCTTATTTGCAAGTAATTACTGAGCATCCAACTTCTTTTTCTGGCCACCTTAGTAGTTGATATTTTTAATGGTTCCATATCCTCAAGTACTACTCTGTTCTTTTTGTCGTTGCTGTTCTCAAAAACAGACCCTTAACCACTCTGTCCTTAAAAATTACTCTGCCACCTAAAATCTTCTTTGCTTCTGCAAAGCCCTCGAACATGTTTCCTCCCAAATCTGTGCCAACTTTCCTGCAACTTTATATTTGAACCCCTTAAATCAGTACCAAAACCACTCTTGCCAAATCAGAAACAGCTTTCCCATCCTTTTTGTTCCTCAGATAAACAAAATGGAACTGCAGATGCTGGAGATCTGAAACAAACAAAAACAAATTGCTGGAGAAACTCAGCAGGTGTGGCAGCATCTGTAAAGAGAGAAGAGCTAATGTTTTGAGTGCAGTAGCCCTTCTTCACAATTCATCTGATTATTCTTCCTCATCCTCTTAATGTGCTCCAAGTCCTTCAAGTGGTTGACTACATCATCTTTTCTCAATATCTCATTTATTTTCCAATAGTTACATCCAGCTTTGCCTGCTTCCACTTAGGCTTATCCAGTAAAAGAGATTCTGCTGCAGTAGCTTCTCTTCCCACTTCTTCACAGCTGATATGCAGGAATCCCAAAGGATCTCTCAGCAGCCCCTTTTGTTTCTCATCTAAATGCTGTACCTACATGATGAACACAGTCATGTTCTATAAGTTGTCACAACTTAATCAGTAAGAATAAGTGAATAATTGAGCCTCATGTTACACATTATGTGAATGCTTGAGGAAAATTTCAGTTTAGCCACCAAGATGACTGACTGTTAGTCGGTGCAAAAGCAATTCATGCCAAGTTTTGCCATTAACAGAAAACAACTCTATTTAATATTAACATATTTAACTTTAAAAAATGGCAGAAAAAGGAAATTGTTACTGATCTATACCAAGTGACTTAAACCATACCTCTTTAAAACTTCAAGTACATATGTGCTCATTAATGAATACAACAGTCAAGACAGGCAGTTTGATGTAAATATGGTTGGAAAAATTTAGATGGGGAAAAGAAAATTTTAGAAGATCAAAAGACAAGCACAAGGGCGTGGTAGGTTGTCTCTCAGCTTCTTTTGATTTTAACAATGCTGTTGTCTAAGCCAATGTTGTTCTTCTCTTCAATAGTTGAGGCATTGTGTTATGTCAGGGTGTCGATTCAGACTGCAGACTCCTCAACCAATGTGCACAATATTAATTTACTCCAGTACCTTAGCATGTATTAAGAAAGGACTACATAGCATGAGTCTGCAGTCACTGAACCAGGTCACAACTTTATTTGAAAACCAGGTTAAGAGTTAAATTTTACACTTTTAACAACTCTGTTGCTAACTATCTGATTCTTTAGAAACTTGAAATACTTCGCAGATACCCGTACCTTTGATGGTCAGACGAATTGTTCCATCTGTCCCACTCTTTTTGGGCTCTCTCTCTCTCTCTCTCTCTGTTTCCTCTCTTTCCCTCAATGCTGCTAATGGCTCTTAATGCTTGCTTAACAGCAACCCCTTTGATGTGTCTGCTCTTGGGACCTGGAAGTCTGGTTTTATCCCAGAATATACACCTGATCTTTTGTCTTACTGAGATATGTCTGCCCCCTGCATCTAGTGTTGTTTGTTTGTCAGGAAGGGTTGAATTGCCCTTTCACACTTCCTGATGTGTTCTGGTGCCTCTCTGGTTTCAATTGTCAGGGCTTGGATTTTGCCAGGACTTGCCCCCAAACAGAATTGTCTCTTGTGTCTGAGGAGTAGGAAAGTTGACGTTTCGGGTCGGGACCCTTCTTCAGAAATGGAGGAGGGGGAAGGAGAAGGAAGCTCAGAACTAAGTAGAGAGAGGGGAAGGTGGGGCTGGGGAAGGTTGGTGAGATGGTGATAGGTGAGTGCAGGTAGGCAGAGGTAGTGATTGGTCAGTGAGGTGGGAGGAGCGGATAAGGTGGAGAGAAGATGAACAGGTCAAGGAGGCAGGAATGAAAGGGAGGGTTGGTCATGGGATGAGGCCGGGGTTGGGGAGATTTTGGAACTTTGATAGTCCACATTTAGGCCATTGGGCTGTAGGCTCCCAACGTGGAATATCAGGTGCTGCTCCCCCAGTTGCCAAGTGGCGTCATTGTGACACTGGAGGAGGCCCAGGATGGACATGTCGCCCGGCGAGTGGGAGGGGAAGTTGAAATGGTTCACGACCAGAAGGTGGTGGTGTTTGTTGCAGACAGAGCGCAGGCGCTCTACAAAGCGGTCTCCAAGCCTCCGCTTGGTCTCACCAATGTAGATCCTCTCTCTATTTATTTCTGAGCTTCCTTCCCCCTCCCCAACTTCTGAAGAAGGGTCCCGAACCGAAACGTCAACTTTCCTGCTCCTCTGATGCTGCCTGGTCTGCTGTGTTCCTCCAGCTCCACACTGTCATCTCTGATTCCAGCATCAACAGTTCTTACTATCTCTGTCTCTTGTGTCTGTCTTGGCTGAGTTATTCCTACTATACTTCACTTTTTAGCCAATTTTGATGCCATGTTTATTTCACTGTGCTGCCCATCTCTCTACAGACGCTGCCAGACCTGCTGAGTTTCTCCAACACTCTATTTTGTTTCACACTTCCAATATCAGCAGTTCTGATCGAACAAACAATTGAACAATTTATTTATTGTCACATGTATCTAGGGAGATACAGTGAAAAGTGTTCTGTTGCCACAGTCCGGTGCCATTTTGAGGTACAAGAAGAACAAAAGAAAGTACTCAAATAGCGTGTACCCTACATTGGCCAGGGTCTCAAAACATGGCTGCAGGCTTCTGCGAGGTCCCCACTCCACACCTACTGCAGCCAGGAGTTCCCCACCTCGAGCCACCAACATCGCTACAGTTGACAATCTGCTGCGGCTGCGAAGTATCCATGCTCCAAGCCTACCGCAGCCAGGAGTCCCCATTTGAGCCGCCAATACCACCATGATCAATGACTTGCCACACTGTCAAGAATCCATGCTCCAGGCTTACTGCAGCCACAAGTCCCCACTTCACCATGGCTGCAGCTGACGTCTCGCTGCCATTCCAGGAGTCCACGCATCGGATCTACAATGCCAGAATCCTTACTGCCCCATCGCTGCAGCTGACACCCCAATGCCGTTCCGAGAGTTCAAACATCCAGCCTGCAAATCCAGGAGTCCTCGCCAATACCACTCTGGCTTCCTTGCGACATCAAGAAGGTTAGGAAAAGAAAAAGAAAGAAAGACGAAAAGGAGAGAGAGGAAAAGAATGCGGCCAGCCTGGAGCAGGATGGCTCAGCCCGAACCCTACCTGCTCCTTGCTGGCTGGGAGACCCTGGGCTGGGGTGGAGCTGTGTCTGACTTGTCACGGTGTTGCTGCTGTGCTGCAACACATCTTCTTTAACCGCCACTCTCGAGGCTTTAAAGAAAATTAAAAGAAAAGGTTTTAAAAAAAAAGCAAAAGTAAAAAGACAAAAAAGATAGCAGACAGGAGCGGACGAGCCCTGTGCTCAGCCCTGCTACTCTGCCGCTATCTTGCTCCACCTCCATATGGGCCACATGTGGGAGTACTTGTTTTTATTTAAATGTTCTTTACTGTTTGTCCATGTCTTGGTTATTTGAAGCTAATTATACATAAACTGAGATACTGTGTTTGAACTATGTGCCTCTCATTTTCTTCAGGGATTTGTGCCTGGCCTTTTTGGTACATCACATGGTGCTCTTCAATTTATGGCTTATGAAGAATTAAAGAAGGAATACAGCTTTTATAAAAATGTGGCAGTAGATGTGAAATTGGTGAGTTGTTGTCAAGTGCAAGTTTAATTTTCAATTGTACAGTAAATTACATTATAATAACTAGCTGGTCTGTTTTGTTACAACCAGAAACCTCCCTTCAGATCTGAGAAAGCTATTGCTAAGTTAAGGCTTAATTTATGTAGATTCAGTAACTACTTCAAAGCAATAAGTGTGCATGAACGTTGATTTCTTCCATTCTTTGTGCACAGTTGTTAATACAGTGCTGTCACAAATAATACAGTCATTATTTTTCATCCTTTAACTGATGAGTTGATACTTACAGCAATTTGCAGTGATTGCTGATAAAGGCAAATAATGCTAAATACAGTCCCACAATTTTTGAATTTCCTGTTGTTTATCATGGTCCAGTGGCACAATTTGGAAGGACCCCATGTCAACTGAAGGAGCAAAAATGAAGCACAAATGTAGGCCTTCTTGAAAAGTTTGGAATTCCCTTTTTTGTCATATTGCACTGTACAGGAACAAAGAATTCCTTTGAGCACGTCAGGAAAATCCACTCGTACCGTGACTGAGTTTTCTTTTACTGCCCTCTTCTGTCTTCTCTTTCTGTTGTCTGATTAATTGTTTCATTTTATGGACGGGAGATTGGACAAATCCTTCTCAAATCTTTATCATTGTACCTCTTTTATATCCAAGAACAGGAAACTTCCAGTTTATGATCTATGTTTGGAGCTTATCCTTTCTAACATGGAACAAATGGTCACCTTTATCAGAATACCCTGGAACACGCACAGTGTGACAGCTGATTGCCAAAATCTCAGCTTTGTGAAAAAAAATAAGCAACTTGTATCAAAACTGTGAATGCTCTAGTGGAAGCTTTGACGGCTGCTATTATGGCAATAGATGCAATGGCAATGGATACAAGGTTCAAAGGATCTTCACAGACCCCACACTAGCCCATCAACCTGTTCTCCAACAAATCCAGTGATTTGCAGAAGTGCTGTCTTGGGAGAGTGACAGTGGCTCCATGGAACATAAACTTCCTTGCCTCTCAGAGAAGTTCTCTAAGCCCTGAAACTCTGCCAAATCACCTCAACAGCCTTAGCTAGTGCAGTTATTTCTCTGAAACTCAGAAGGGGGCTGCATGGTAGGGCAGAAGGACAGTTGCAGCAGAGGGAAATAATGGAGGGTGGCTGCATGTAGAGGTGGTGAGGGAGGGTAGTTCCATTTAGTGATAGGTGGAGAAAGTAAAAGGCTGCATAGGAGGAAAAGAGAGGGAGGCTGCAAAGGAGGATGGGAGAGAAAGAAAGTGGAGTGTGAGGGGGTTGGGGCAGGGAAGTCTGCAAGGGTGTGGAGAAAGAGCTGGGGGACTACAAAAAGAGAACAATGTCAACTGTCAACAAAAGAGCACTAAACTAACCAGGAACTGGATAAAAACAGAAGTTGCTGGAAAAGCTCAGCAGGTCTGGCAGCATCTGTGAAGAAAGTAATCAGAGTTAACGTTTTGGGCCCTTTATTCCTGATTTACAGCATCTGCAGTTGTTTCAGTTTTTATTTAGGAACTGGATAAACTTGAAATTAGCAAATTACTTGCAGATGAATGTGGAATTTCTGGCTTAAGGCTATATATGGTTAGGAGCTAAGGTATGGGGAAAAATTTTTTTGATGTTGTTAGATTGATAGATCTCAATTTCAGATTTAAATTTGAGATGCATTAAAAAGTCTCATTATTGCAGGTTAAGATATTCTAACTTTGTGAGTATGTGATGGAAATATATTGCAGTAACCTCTCCAATCAGCAGGTGTGTTTAGGTGATGTCTTGTGTGTAGAAATGTGGCAGTTATTTAGAAAAAAACTTCTGTTGCTCATTTTTTAGTTCTTAGTTCTCAGTTCTCAACTGGGAGAAGACTGATTTGATGGGACCATCAAATTCTGTGAACCCTGGATATCAGGTGATACACAGTATTGGATTAAGAGAAAATGGGAAGCTTATGGAAGATACCGATGGCTCAAAAGAGCAGAAGCCCTAGATTAGTATAAAATTTGTAAGAGGGAACATAAAAGGGAGATTAGGACAGCTAGAAGGGGATATGAAAGGATACTGACAGGTAAAGTAAAAATGCTACTCCTAAAGGAATATTATGTGAAAGGATGTTGGAGAAAGTGTAGGTCTCATTAAAGACCATAGTGATAATTCTTGTTGAAGCCAGCCATAAGTAAAATTATTCTAAATGAACACTTTTGGTTGGCGTCCATTAGTGAGAAGGACGAAATAGGTGTAGAAATTAGGGAAAAGGTCTGTGATCGATTAAAGAAACTAGCATAGACAGAGAGGAGGTTCTGAGTAGTTTGCAGGCTTAAAAGTAAATAAGTCTCAGGGGCAGGATGAAATGTATCCCAGGTTGTTGAGTGAGGCAACGGAGAAAGTAGCAGGGGTGCTTGCAAAAATTTCAATTCCTCTTTGTACACTGAACAGGTATTGATGAACAAGCAATGTGATACTATTATTTGAGAAGGGAACAAGGGATAAACCAGGAAACTACAGGCCAATCAGTCTATCCTCAGTCATGGGGAAACTACTGAAAGCAATTGTGAGGGGCAGAATTAATCTGTATTTGGGGAGCGAGGGATTAATCAAGAAAAGTCAGCATGGTTTTAAGGGAGTTCATATCTGACCAACTTTAATTTTGTGAAGAGGTGAAATATATCTAGATAAGAGCAATGTTTTGATGTAATTTCCTTAGACTTCACCAAGGCTTTTGATAAGGCCCTGTGTGGGAGGCTGATAGCAAAGGTCGGAGCCCATGGAATCCAAAGAACTTTGGTAAATTAGATCCACAATTGGTTGCATGGCTGGAAGCAGAAGATAATGGTTCAGTAGGAATCTGGAACTCACTGCCTGTAAGGGTGGTAGAGGCAGAAACCCTCATAACATTTAAGAAGTATTTAATGTGCACTTGTGATGCCAAGGCATACAAGACTATGGATTAAGTGCTGGAAAACTGGAAAAGAATAGTTAGGGATAACAAGGTGTAGAGCTGGATGTCTAAGCCCGAAACGTCAGCTTTCCTGCTCCTCTGATGCTGCTTGGCCTGCTGTGTTCATCCAGCTCTACACCTTCAGATTCTACATCTCAGATTCTCCAGCATCTGCAGTTCCTACTATCTTAGAATAGTTAGGTTTTTGTTTTAGACTGGTGCGGATGTGGTGAGCCGAAGAGGTTTTTTTCCTATAGAGTGATCCCTGTCTCAGTGTTTTATGCCTGTTAGTTTATGCTAATTTAAATGCTGTGGCTTCTAGGAAATTAATGTTTTCCTTGTGTGTTGCAGCTTATATTTAATTGGCAGTTCAGGATGTTTATGAATTCTTCTAATTCTTCTTTACGAGTTCAATTACCTCATATGTCAATGCAAATGCAGAAGGTAATATTACTACATGGCTGCGTCATATAATAATAGTTAGTGACAATGAAAAAGCATTTCTGAATATCAAATGTAACCCAAAGAAAATCTCAAGTTGAGCCTGCAAGAAAGGGAAAAAAAATTTGGGGCCCTGTTCCAGAACTAATGGTTTCTGCTCTGTCAGCAGTTTCATTTAGATTATTTTGTAATGTGTTGTTATTGCATTTTTCAGCTGGTTTATTTATTAAATTACACAAGCCTTGATTTTCTTTCAAGCACATTAGAGTTACATTTTCTGAGTGCCTTTTTTTTATTCTCCTTGATGGACACAAACTGATCTCAGTCAACCAAAATCCAAGGTTCTGAGTTTGAGGTCGGTTGTCAGAAGCTTTTGAATTTGGGCCCAATATCCCCTCCAGTTGACTTTTTTGCAAAATAGTTTAGTTACTTGATGTTAGTGTTTTCAGCATCATGTTATGTACAATATTATTGACATTACACCTACTCGATCTCATAATAAAAGTCTACCAATGACTTTTCTATTGAAATAGTGCTTCTTTAAAATTCTATGCACAGGTGCACTGATACAAGAAATAACTCAGGTTTTGGATTGCCTGGGAAAACTTTGAGTTCACTTACAATATTAAGTAAAGTTTAGAAATTGCATCACTCTCAAAAAAATTTATGAAAATTGGCATATCTGCAACAACATCATCTATTTGCTAGTATTTGCATCCAGAATCTCATATCTAAGGTACTTTAATTAGTCTTTAAAATTGATAAGGGCAAGGTAAATGCTTATTCGTTATAGTACCCTATTGTAATTGATTCTTAAATAGTATTAAAATATTAGCATATCTGCTGGCTGAGCTAAAAGTGGACGTTATAAAGGATGAGGATTGTAAATACAAGATGTTTAAAATAGAATTTTTCAGCATTTTCATCCCTTTTGGTGAAAAAACAGAGTTCTAACATCTCCAGTCCAGTGACCCTTCTTCAGAATCCAGTCTGAACAACAGTTACTTGACTTGAAACGTTAACTGTTTTCCCCCAAAGACACTGCCAAACTGCTCAGTTTTGCCAGCAGTTTTAGTTCTTGTTTCAGATCACCAACATCCTCAATTCCTTGTTTTATTCTTTCCTTTGGTAGTTGACTTTCCTAACTAAAATCCAACTAAAGAGGTAACTAACTGGGCTGCTAACTCAGGCTTTGTGATATTCTTGCATTGTAAATGAACTTTGTCTGATCGGAATCTTAATAGCAATTCAGCTGCAGAAGTCAGAATCCACCAGATGTTCTGATTTCCTTCATCTGCACCAGAATTGCCAATGTCCACTCCTGATATGAAATTGATTAAAAGAAGAGTTTAAAAAAATCTGAAACTACCTAGAACCCCAGTTAAATCATCTGAGTATTCTAAAGCATTCAATTAATTGAAATGATATAAGGTATTGTAGGCCTGTATCAGTTTTATAATAAATATAACACTTTTGCTTTTTTCACTATGTCTTCCTCAGAATCCCTTAGAATATGTAACAATGGCAGCATTATCCAAAGTTTTCGCCGTAACAGCAACATATCCATATCAAGTAGTGCGTGCTCGGCTGCAGGATCAGCATACCCAGTATTCTGGAGTAATGAATGCTATAGGGAGAACATGGAGGTAAAGTCATAAAGACTGAATAAAACTGCACTTCTATATTATGTAGTCTTCAAGATTGTGCTGTACTGTTCCTTTTGCCAGTGATAAATGCATTGTCTGGAAGGTAAGATTGTTAAACCAAATATATGCAGCATATATCCCTGGAAAGTTTAATTTACTGGAATAATGGTAAACAAATTTATCTTCTAAATTTTCCTTTCCTTTACCTATCTTTTATACTTGTTTGGGACCTACAACCTGAAATCCTCCCCCTAAACATTCCAGTGTTCCAGGGAACAAAACAAAGAAGCAAATTGGCAAAGAAATTGAGATGTGCAAAAATTATCCAATAATTAAATTATCCTAATGTAGACATAGAAAGTAACACAGTAAAGGGCAGAGAGAGCAAGAGATTCTACCATGTGCTAGAAGAATATTCTTGATCAGTATTTTTCAAGTTGAATGAGAAAAGAGATGTCATTGGACTTGTTCTGGGAAATGAGGTGGGGATCAGGTGAATCAAGAGCAGTGTTTCGGGCGCAGTGATCATAGTATCATAAGATTTAGGTTAGCGATGGAGAAGAATAATAAAGAATGGGCATAAAAATACTAATGGGGATGGGATGATTTCAGTGGGTGAGATTGGATCTGTCCCAAGTAAATTGAAATTGAAGGTTGGCAGGTAAAACTAACAAATCTGCTGAAATGAATTGGTCTGATCTGCATCGGAATCCCAATTTCTGATCCAGATCAGGTTAAAGTATCACGTATTTGCCTTCCCAGAATTTTTTAGTTGGACTTCAGATGCAGGATGCACCACAACAGATGCAATCCAGCAAACTACCCAGGCAGCACTGAAATGTATTGACACAAACCATGCCCCCTTGTTAATGGTCTCAAAACCATATTGACAGCTACTGAGAGAGAGTGGGAAAGGGAGCAGGTTGGTAGAAAAGGGGGTTATGCTACCAGGTGGGTGGATGAGGGAAGGTAGAGTTGGCAGGTGGGTCAGCACCCCCAGTTTAAACGTCCTGGTCAACTACTGCATAGTCATTGCACCTGAAGCAATTGTGAGCGGCAGAATTAATCTGTATTTTGGGAGGGAGGGATTAATCAAAACAGTTAGCATGGTTTTGTTAGGGGAATTCATGTCTGAGCAACTTTAATTTTTTGAAGAGGTGAAATATATGTAGATGATGTAATTACCAAGGTATCTGATGCCTCTCTTTCAGGGTACATCTAGTCTCCAATTATCCAGAGACCAGAATCTCTGAGCCAAAGAAACTCAATGAATTTGATGAATATTTTGCACCGTATGCCAAAGACAGTAGCCCAAATGTTCTGAGGAGTGGCAATCACAGACAGACTGCCTACTTTTCTGCTAGGACTGAGCTCTGCGTTTTTTACTGATAATTCCGATCCCAGTTCCTTAGAAATACAGAAATACCTGAAACCCAACTGTTCCTTCGTAGTGCAGGACAATTGAGAGAACCTAAATCAAGCCCCTTTCTCAAGGCAATATTTAATATCCAGCAGCACAGCCCACCACTTTGAAAAGATGTGAATAATGTGGGGTTAAGGTAGCAGTTGTTTATCAGGTTGGTTTGCCGGGGGGTAAGAGTGCCTTTAAACTGTCATTTATGTTAATGCATCTGTATGTAAATACATATTTATAACACTTGTGGTAAGCCAATTAAAGGGATCTTTTGGAGCTTGTATAACTGCTGGTCATATAGCAAGCATATTGACCTGGATTAACATTTTTTTCATGGAGCAAATGGCTTCTTTACTTCCACTGCTTCAACTTGGCATGGGTCGACTGCATAATATATGCAAGTACAATTTCTGCAAGGGTTTCTCAATCTCTTTGCCTGAAAGTGACTTTAGATTGGTGGTGAAACACCATTATTAAGAGGTGCTTTAGCCAATCTTCCAAAGTTAAAGCAGGCGATCAGAAGAATCTGGCAGTAATTCTGGGGTTAAATTTGAAGTCCTCCAAGGGAATGCTATAATCAGAAACAAAAACAGAAATTTCTGGAAAATCTCATCAGGTCTAGTAGCATCTGTGGAGAGAAATCAGAGTTAATGTTTTGGATGGAGTGACCCTTCCTCATAACTGACATCTTGCAGCATTTGCAGTTCTTCTGGTTTGTAATGTTGTAATCAGAGTTGTCATCTTTCAGATGGGATGTTCAGCCACTTGAGTGGCTCAGTTGGATGTTACAGACGCTATCTTGATTTCCTAACGTTTCTCCTTCACTTAATATCAAATTAATTGGTGATATGTGTGTGATATGCCTGATTAAATTCAGAACTGTTTTTTGCCTCCATAACAGTAAAAACAGATAGAAAAGATTCTAGAGATAATACATGTGGAGCTGGAGGAACACAGCAGGCCAAGCAGCATCAGAGGAGCAGGAAAGTTGACGTTTTGGGTCAGGCCCCCTGGCTTGCTGTGTTCCTCCACCTCCACACCGTGTTATCTCTGACTCCAGCATCGGCAGTTCTTACTATCTCCTAGAAGAGTTTCTAATTGGTTCTGAAGAACTACAGGCATTCTTGTCTCTGATCAGGAAAGTCAAGAAATTTGGAGTACCTGATGTTAACCTCCAACATTAAAAATATAGCAGGAAGAACACCCTGGATGTTAAATTAAGTTTTGTAGTGTTTTTGTGTTGTGATTAAAATAATTTCTTCGAAGAAAACGGAAGGTTACACACCAGTGTGTAATTTTGAAATTGAAAATTACCACTTTCTTTTTCAGGAATGAAGGAGTTCATGGATTTTATAAAGGAGTTGTTCCAAATGTGCTTAAAGTGACACCTGCATGTTGCATTACATTTCTGGTATACGAGAATGTATCTCAATTTTTACTTAGTTTCCGTCAATCCTGAACTTTTGGACTGTTTCGTCAGCATTTGAATTGCAGAGGCTTATCATTTCACCAAACAAAACTGCAACTTTGAGAAGGAGATCAAATGCTGTCTAGGTAACACTTTTAGCTGCCCACTGTATTTCCCACACCTCCCCCAAGCTGTAGTAGTATTTTTAAATACTGGTCTTAAAATAATATTTATTTCATTTCATATTGTTTAAATCTACACAGCTGGCAGATATTGTTAGAAGTTCAATTTCTTTCATTCGTGAGATGGGTAGGTGTCATTAGCATTGATTGTCCATCCCTCAAATTCAAAAGGTAAACTTCTGAGTATCAGATGTTATCTCTGGGTAAAATGCTTAATGTTTAATATTTTACTCCTTAAAGGATCCAATTTCTAGAAACTATAATCAGCAAATTACAGAGCAATTGATGTTGAATTTAATTGATAGTCTGTTTTGTATTCTTGCAATGGTCTTTTGTAATAAAGCGCATTTGGTATAATAATGCAGTCTTAATGGGGATTTATATGTTTGCTTAAATTATTAAGTTAATTATGATTAAATGGAAAAAGTTTATGTATTGTATTCTGGAAAATTTACAAGCCTGTATATGAAAATAATATAATCTTGCTAAATCTAAATAATGTAGTGCACTTTCTACCAAGTGGCAGAACTAAATAAAGAAGTTAATTTTTGGCCTGTGTAATTACTTTTAAGTTACAAAAGAATGAAACTAGAGAGTCGGAATAAAGTGAATATCTTGATGGTTGCTTTTCAATCCGTTACGGGTGGTTTTCATCTCAAATTATAATTTTAAGAGTTCATACATTGAGGCGTTTCCTGCCTAAAATACTAATTTAATTCCTGGTCTCATCTGAGTAAGAGTTAAATGGATAATTCTTTTGAATCAAATACACATATTTAGGATGTATGAACAGGTTCACTTAGAATAAATCTTAACATTTAAACCGCTACTTGTATTGTCATCAAATCTCTAGTTAGTTCAACAAAACTTGTATATCCAGCCTGAATTTGGTAAGCCTTTGTCTTACAGTAAATTTGTTATTTCAAGTCTTCCAGGTTTTTTAAATATAATAAAAATCCAGTATTTTAATTAATCTTCTACAAATATTACAAACTATGCCATAAAATCGTAGAATCCTTAGTGTGCAAGCAGGCCCATAAAGTTCATAACAACTCTCCAAAGATCATCCTACCCAGACCCACCCTGGTACCCTGTCCCTGTAACCCTGCATTTCCCATTGCCAATCCCCCTAACTTGCACATCTTTGGACTGTGCAAGTCTTTACGATTTTCTAACAGTACTTAAAATTAGTTCAGAGTACATTTTGTTCTAATTAAACCAGAAGATTAACAAAATGACTCTGAATTATATCCATTAATCTGTTTACTATATATGTTAATAAAAATCAGATGTATGATGGGCAATAGAGTCATCTCCCACGTGAAAATTATCCCACATAATCTAATCTCACTTGTATTTCCACCCTTAAAGTTCAGGCACAAAGTACAACTGTTACATCTGTCTTTATCATTTGGTAAAAGGAATTTTATATTTATTTTAAATTTTACTGTATGTTTTAAGGTTTCCAGAAAATGTACTTAAGAAATTTCACACAGATTTTGATGAAAGTTAACAGTTTTTATTCAAATTGTACTGATAGACCAAGAATGGCTCTTGGTAGTTTTTCAGTTTGTAGAAACAACTATTTCGGCATCTCCTCGATTATCAACCGTGATACTGAGTTCCAACCAGTAGAAGCATCACCTTGTGGGTAGCCATTGGAGCACAACCCAACCCAGACTGAAACATCCACTAGCCCAGCACTGATTCCTTCACACAGGCCTTCAACTGAAAAATTGAGTACAAATTTGTTAGAACATTGCAAAGAACAGAACAAGTAAGACAAAGATTGTTTTAAACAAAGCTGCAGTACATGTCTAGTTCCTTGTGAAGTAAAGCATTACATAATAAAGCAAAATAAGATTTCCTCTTATTAGTTTGCCACATGTATGACAATTTTCCTTTGGATGTTTTTATATTTCTTGTTTCAATGCTTTTTCCTTCATATTCAACTTGATGTTGAAAACGTTTCATACAGAAAATTGACTCAAACTATATGAAGACCGCTGAAGCATCATTCATGTTGCTATTTTTCATGTGCTATTAAGGAAGCAGTTGTTCATATGAAATTTATTGATAGGAAGAATGTACCTCTTTGCAAAACCTAATTCTGACTTTCACATTCTTGGACTTTTTCTATTATTGAAGATTGACCAGGAGCTGGAAACTCAGGCTTAGAAATTCAGCAGTGAGAAAGCTGGTCCTGGACAGTTGATCGTGAGAAAATGGGGTTTGGAAAGTGGGCTATGAGAAATCTGGGCCTAGAAATTAGGGTTAAAACAAAAAATGGTGGAAACGCCCAGCAGATCTAACAGGATCTGTGAAGAGAGAAAGAGTTAATGTTTTGAGTTGAATATGTTGCTCCTTTGAGATTGAAGGGGCAAAGAATGGGGAAAACCTAGAAATTCATGAGCAAGAAAACCACGCAAAATTGACCCTCTTGTACAGCATATGCACTGATGGTTGTGAAAGAAACTCTAATTATAGGCAAGATGCAAACATGGAAGCAACCATGAGATTGAGAGATGGAGGAATGAGATTGCGGGCATCTGCCGGAACCTGCACTTTTGATGTGGAAACTGGAGGAGCACTAACCACACAACTGGGTGAATTTAAAATAGTTTTAGCATTTTAATGGGAAATCTGTGGTTTACCTGTTCAGTGCCGGAGGGAACTGATTGCAGTAAGTACTTCTCAGGTGCCAATCAGTTTAAAAAATGGACCTATGAACATATGCCTGATGAATAGAGTTGACTATCTAGTCTTCAAGCCTGTTCCATCATTCAGTAAGATTAAGGCTGATCTATTTGTGTTCTAAATACCCTATTTCCATTTACCCGTAATAATCTTGGAGTTTTGTTTGGCAAGGGAATCAATCTACTCTGCTTAAAATGTTCATCAACCCTACCTCCAATGCCTTCTGAGGCAGACTGTTCCAAAGATGTGCAGGCCTCTGGCAGAGAACAATCATCCTTATCTTTGCCCTAAAAGGATAATCCCTAATTTTAAAACAGTGCTCCTAACTACTTGACTCACTGATAACATCCGCATCTTTTCCACATTCACCTTGTCAAGGCCATATCGGACCTTACAAGCTTGAATCAAATCAACCCTCACTTTCCTAAACTCATGAAAAGCAGCCCAATCTGTCTTCAAAAGACAACACACTCATTCCAACTATGAATCTAGTGAAACCCCTATGAACCACCTTCAACACAATTACACAGTATGTGAGATGTGTTCGCACTAATGCCCTGCATAACTAAAGCATTACATCCTTATCTTTATGTCCAAAACCACTTGTAATAAAGGACAGTATTCCATTAACCTTTTTAATAACTCGTTATACCTGCATGCAACGTTTATTTGGCTCAGGGACTGGAATACATAGCTCCCTTTATACCACAGAACTCTGCAGCATTCTCTATTTAAATAGTACTCTGCCTTTTTATTCTTCCTGCCAAAGTGAACAACTTCACATTTTCTGAAAAAAATAGAGATGTACAGCATGGAAACAGACCTTTCAGTCCAACTTGTCTATGCCAACCAGATATCCTAAATAAATCCAGTCCCATTTGCCAGCATTTGGCCCATATCCCTCTAAACCCTTCCTATTTATATACCCATCCAGATTCTTTTTAAATGTTCTAATTGTACCAGCCTCATCACTTCCTCTGGCAGCTCATTTCACACATGCACTGCCCTCTGTATGAAAAGGTTGTCCCTTAGGTCACTTTTAAATCTTTTCCCGTCTCACCTTAAATCTATGCCCTCTGGTTCTGGACTCCACTACCTCAGGGAAAAGACTTTGTCTGTTCACCCTATCCATGTCCCTCATGATTTTATAAACCTCTATAAAGTTACCCCTCAGCTTCCAATGCTCCAGGAAAATTGCCCCAGCCTATTCAGCCTCTCCTTATATCTCAAATCCTCCAACCCTGGCAACATTGTTGAAAAGGTTCAGGAAAAAATGACAAGTTTCACAACATTCTTCTGTAGCAGGGTGACCAGAATTAAACAAAAGTGGCCTGACCAATGTCCTATGTTGACGTCCAAATCATTTACATAAATAACGAAAAGCAGTGGTCCCAGCACTGATTCTTGTGGCACACCGCTGGTCACAGGTCTCCAGCCCGAAAAACAACCTTCCACTACCAGCCTCTGTCTCCTACCTACAAGCCAGTTCTGTAACCAAATGGCTAATTCTCCTTGTATTCCATATAATCTAACATTGCTAACCAGTTTACCGTCTGGAACCTTGTTGAATGCCTTACTGAAGCCCATGTAGACAATGTCCACTGCTCTGTCTTCATGAATCCTCTTCGTCACTTCAAAAAACTAGTGAGACACAATTTCCCATGCACAAAACCATGTTTACTATCCCTAATCAGTCCTTGCCTTTCCAAATACATGTACATCCTGTCCCTCAGGATCCCCACCAACAATTTGCCCTCCACTGATGTCAGGCTCACTGGTGTATAGTTTCCTGGCTTTGCCTTACCATCTTCCTTAAATTGTGGCATTATGTTAGCCAATCTTCAGTCATCTGGAACCTCAATTGTTGTTATCAATGAAACAAATACCTCAGCAAAGGGCCCAGTATCACTTCCCTAGCTTCCCGCAGAGCTCTGAGCTACACCTGATCAGGTCCTGGAGATTTATCCACCTTTATGCATTTTAACATGTAACATCTCCTCTGTAATATGGACATTTCCCCACATTTTATATCTTCCCTAACCTTCTCCACAGTAAATGCTGATGCAAAATACTCGTTTAGTATCTTCCCCCATCTCCTGTGGTTCCACACATGGGCAGGCTTGCTGATCTTTAAGGGGCCCTAATGCCTTCCTAAGTTACTCTTTTGTCCTTAATGTATTTGTAGGATCCCTTTGGATTCGCCCTCAATTAGGTCTCAGTTTTCATTGGCAGTGACTGCTTTAGAGGGCATATGGGCATATGTCGATATGAAGTGAATGACATACCTGCTCTAAATGTGGTTGCACGTATCATCATAAACCCTCTGATGCTTGTTTGTCGCTGAATGGTACTCAAGAATTCAATTCTAGGCGTATTATTTTTGTTTTCTCCCTATGTGGGCAACTCTAAAATATAATGACATTGCTTATCTCCCAGCTGAAAACAGTAGACATTACATTTATTGACATTTCAAATTAAATGTACTTAATGCCTGATTTATACAAGCTGTGTATGAAGAGTGTAATAATTAACTTCTTCATTTATCTGGAGCCGTGGTTTTAAACCAGTATACCAGAGAGCAGGTGACTGGGACTATTCTGAGAAATAATGATATATTGAAAGTGTTTTACAATTAGACAGAACAAATATTGAAAGGTATTAGCTTACTTTTGTTTAAAAAAAAAATGATTGTTTTACCTCAGGAGAATCCCATAAATTGCAAAGATTTTGGTTTCAGTTTGCAAAGCACTTTGGCTAGGGTTAGATGCAAGAACAATTTCTCCTGGAGAAGGGAGTTGGTTCATAACAGTTAGTGAATAGGTTATCATTTTAAATTTCTAGACCTGAGGTGTTTGGTTAGAACCCTGAAGGAGTTATTTGAAATGAAAGTTTAAGCTTAGTGTGTAACTAATCGAGGGAAGGGCTGAACTCTCAAGATAAATAATTAAAAGAACCAGTTTAATCAAACCTGCAGATGTAGTAGAGAAGGGAACTGTCTGGTAAAGTGATGTGTTGGGATATATGAGTTTTGTTCTGCCATGTGTTTCAAAATATTTCAAATGTGTTATCTCTTAACAGCATGATTTGTTCTCCTTTATCATCATTTCTGATATGTAATTTTTTTTTTACTAAAACCAAATATGCAGCATTGCATGCTCATGTTTCAGTGAAAGACCATCTTGTTAAATTTTAAAAAATCTATCAAGCAAAGTTTCAGTCTTCAGTCTGGGATCTGACTTGTCCAGTAGTAACATCAGCTAGGATCATAACCCAACAGATTTTTACACACGTATAACTTTACAGAGAAAATAATTAGAAACTAGGAAATCCTAAGTACAGTATGTTTCAAAACAAACCTGAAGATGTGCGATGTATATTTATGGTTGAGTTGAATTCTGGGCTTCCTTGATCTAGGTAGATGATGGCTTCAATTGGCAGTGGACCGCTGCACTCAGCCCCATTAAATGTAAAGTACCAGCGCTGACAGCAGGCACTTTTGCATTTCAGACGCAAAGAACCAGTGAATAATACTCTGAGGGCACTATCTGTGCGCAGCTTGGTGAATGTACATTCCTAAGGTAAAACACAAATAGGCGCAAAGTCAACACTGACAAAACATCTTGATATATCATAGAATCACAGAATTGTTACAGCACAGAAGGAGGCCATTCAGTCCATGTGTCTGCACCACCTCTCCAAATGAGCATTTTGTTTACTGCCATTCTCTTTTCATATGATTTGTAAATCACATTCCTTTCTTTAGAAATTCATTATTCATATGTGAAGTTTAACCATCAATGAAAGCACAATGCTAAAAAAGAAACAGGGTTTTCCCATATATTAATACAGGAAGGAGCTGTACCGCTGACTTGAATGCAACCAAACAAAATAAAAACAAAGTACCACAGATACTGGAAATCACATATAAAAACAAAAACAAAATGTTAATCAGGTTAAGCAGTATAGTGCTCCTTATAGTTCTAGAAATGTGTCCAACTACGTATTAATGTCTGACAAAAGTAAAAGAGAAGAAAAATATGTTCACTGATTAAGGGCTTAGGAAAGTAGAATTAGGAGCAGGAGTCTGAGAATTGGAGTTCGTTCCATTATTCAATACGATCATTATTGATCTAGTATGATCTCAACTCCACATTCCCTTAATGACCATAAACTCCCTTGTTGGTCCAAAATATATCGACCTCTGCATGAAAAATATTCAAACACTCAACTTACAACATTCTCTGGAGTCCAAAAATATATTTAGTCCATAAGAAGACATTCAAAATCCAAAGGTTATAGAATGAATTGGATATTCTGCAGTTCACTATTATGAACCTTTATTTAGTCCTTACCATCCAAACATTAATTGCAGTAATTTGTTTTGCTACAAGATTAATTTGACAGCAAGAAAATGAAGTTAATGAAGTCCATCTGTACACTACAGATTTCAAAACTGTTCCAGATTTGGATTGCACAGTTACAAAATATATGCTTGGTTACAAAATTATATGTTGATTTGCAGATGTATTTTAGATCTAAAATCTCTTCGGAGTTATAGACATAAATTTGAGGTCAATTTAATCTGATACAGCTGTTGTAAAAATGACAAGATGAGTGCAATGGAGGTTTTACAATCTACATGATCTTATTGTAGTCTGTTGTGATTTGCACTGGGATGGTTGTGATTCTGGCATTTCACCCAGTCCGCTGTATTCCCTTTGCAGTGGGTCAGACCAACCCACAAAGTGTTCAGCTAAAGCAAAAACTGTTCTTTCCGAATACAACTTGGGAACCATTTTCAGACAATAGACATCTGGAAGATCGTTCCAAATGAACAAGTCACATCAACTCAGTTTACAACTATTCAGGGTTACATCTAGTGAAGACAGATGGATCATGAAAACATGTACATAAGTCTATTGTCTTTAGTTCAGTGTGTATGAAAAGAAAATATGCATATACATTCCAAAGAACATCTTTGCAGCACTAGCAAGAGAGTGAAATGGCATTGTTCCTGAAGTTGCCTGCCACTTCAACACACCACCGTGCTCCTTGGCCAACATTTCTCTCTCGGGCCTGTTGCAGTACTCCAGCAAGCCTCGGCGCAAGCTGGAAGAACAACATCTCATTTTCTGCTTGGAGACCCTGCAGCCCTTAATATCGAGTTCAATATTTTTAGGGCCTTCACACTTTCTTCAATGTCCTTTACTTACCCCTACACCACAGGCCTTGTCATCACATGGGCTGCTTTCAACACAGCCAAATCATTCTCATCCACTTATAATCCCCAATATCGACTTTTCTCCTTCCTGAATGAACCGTTATCCATTCTTTTATTTGACTAACTGCTGTTCTCTCTGTCTGGGCTCCATCTCCACTTAATGCGTATTTCTTTAACTCCACCCTTCTCCTCCAACCCCCTTCAGCATATATTACACCATTTCCTAGTTATCTCGAGTTCTGGAGAAGGGTCACATCATTTGTAATTCCTCTCTGGCCATTGGGAATGTGCCAGAGGACTGGAGAACATCTAATATGGTTCCAAAATTTAAGAAGAGTTGCAGAGATAAACTAGAGAGCTACAGACCAGCAAGTCTCACGTCAGCAGTTAGAAAATTATTGCAGAAAATTCTGAAGGAGAGAATTTCTCTCCATTAGAGGAGGGATACGCAGGATAGCTTCATCAGAGGGAGGACATGCTTAAGAAATTTGACTAAATTTTTTCAGAAGGTAACCAGGTGTGGATTTCAGCAAAGCCTTTGACAAGGTCCCATGGACTTATTAAGAAAGCACATGCACATGGGATAATTTGATAAAGGGGATTCAAAATTAGCTCAGTTGTAGGAGACAAAAGGTGATGACGGAAGGTTGCCACAGTAACTGGAAACCAGTGTCCTCTGGTGTACCACAGGAATCTATGCTGAGTCAATTAGACATCATTTATATAAATTACACAGATGACTGTGTGAGGGGTTGGATTAGTAAATTGGCAGACACCACAAAGATTGGTTGGGTGGTTAACAAAGAGCTTGAATATCTTGGGCTACAATAAGATATAAATGGGCAGATAAGTGGCAGATGGAATTTAACCCTGAAAAGTGTGAGGTGATACACGTTGGAAGGAGTAATTTGACAAGGAAGTATTCAATGAATGGCATGACACTAGGAAATTATGTGGAACAAAGGGGCCTTGGGTTGTTTGCCCATAGATCACTGAAAGAGGAAGGGCATCTTAGTAGGATTGTAAAAAAAGCCATATAGATCAATTGCCTCCATTAATTGAGACATAGATTAAAAAAAGCAGGAAAGTCATATTGAAGTTGAATAGAATTTTGGTGAGACCACAGCTAGAAATACTGTGCGCCGTTGTGGTCACCACAATACAGGAAGGACGTGATTGCATTGGAGGGGCACAGAGGAGGTTCACCAGGATGCTGCTTGGGATGGAAAATTTAAGTTAGGAGGAAAGGTTGGATAGGCTTGGGTTGTTTTTGTTGGAGCAGAGAAGCCTGAGGAGTAATCTGATTGAGGTGTACAAGATTTCAAAGCATGGATAAAGAGTAGCTGTTACCCTCAGTTGAAGAGTCAGTCACAAGGGGTCACAGGTTCAAAGTTAAGGCAGGAGGTCTGGGGGGGATGTGAGGCAAAGCCTATTTATCTAGAGGGCAGGTGACAGTCTGGAATGCTCTGCTGGGAAAGTAGTAAAGGCAAATTGCCTGTCACCCATTAAAAACCACCTGGATGAGTACTTGACATGTCATAACATTCAAAGCTGGGGCCAACTGCTAGTAAATCATAGCAGGTTGAGATTCAGGTGTTTCTCATGTGTTGGTGCAGATTTGATGGGCCACAGGGCCTCTTCTACACTACATCATTCTTTGATTCTATGATTCATTGGACCTGAAATGTTGACTGTGCTTTCTCTCTCCAGATGCTGCCAGACCTGTTGAGTTTCCTCCAGCAATTTCTGTTTTTGTTTCAGATTTCTAGAATTCACACTTTGAGTCATCGTCATAGAGGTGAACAGCATGGAAACAGACCCTTCGCTCCAACTTGTCCATGTCAACCAGATATCCTAAATTAATCTAGTCCCATTTGCCAGCAGTTGGCCCATATCCCTCTAAACCATTCCCATTCATATACCCATCCAAATGCTTTTTAAATGTTGTAATTGGACCAGCCTCCACAACTTCCTCTGGCAGTTCATTCCATAAACGCATCACCATCTGTGTGAAAAAGTTGCCCTTTAGGCTCCTTTTAAATCTTTCCCCTCTCACCTTAAACCTATGCCCTCTAGTTTTGGACTCCCCTACCCTGGGGAAAAGACCTTGACTATTCACCCTATCCATGCCCCTCGTAATTTTATAAACCTCTATAAGATCACTCCTCAATTTCCAATGCTTCAGAGAAAATAACCCCAGCCTATTCAGCCTCTCCCTATAGCTCAAACCCTCCAAGCCTGGCAACATGCTTGTAAATCTTTTCTGAACCCTTTCAGGTTTAACAATATAGCGAGGAGACCAGAATTGAACTCAGCATTCCAAAAGTGGCCTAACCAATGTCCTGCAGAGCTGCAACATGACCTCCCAATTCCTAAACTCCATGTACTGACCAGTAAAGGCAAGCATACCAAATGCCTTCTTCTCTATCTTGACTACCTGCTACTCCACTTGCAAGGAATTATGAACCTGCACTCCAAGGTCCCTTTGTTTGGCAACACTTCCCAGGAGATACAACATAGAACAGTACAGCACAGTACAGGCCCTTCGGCCCATGAGGTTGTGCTGACCTATTATCCGACTCTAAGATCAAACTAACCTGAATACGCTACATTTTACTGTGCCTATCCAAGAGTCGCTTAAATGTCCCTAATGTATCTGACATCACTACCACCGCCAGCAGCGTGTTCCACATACCCACCATTCTCTGTTTAAAGAACCTACCTCTGACATCACCCCTATACCTTCCTCCAATCACCTTAAAATTATGTCCCCTCGTAATAGTCATTTCCAACCTGGCAAAAAGCCTCTGGCTATCCACTCTATCTATGCCTCTCATCATCTTGTACACCTCCAATAAGTCACCACTCATCCTTCTTTGCTCCAAGGAGAATAGCCCTAGCTCCCTCAAACTTTCCTCAAAAGACCTGCCCTCCAGTCCAGGCAGCATCCTGGTAAATCTCCTCTGCACTCTCTCTAAAGCTTCAACATCCTTCCTATAATGAGGTGACCAGAACTGAACACAATATTCCAAGTATGGTCTAACCTGGGTTTTATAGAGCTGCAGCATAATCTCACGGCTCTTAAATTCAATTCCCCTGCCAATGAAAACCAACAACCATACACCTTTTTAACAACCCTATCAGCTTGGGTAGCAACTTTGAGGTATCTATGGACGTGGACACTCAGATTCCTCTGTTCCTCCACACTGTCAAGAATCCTGCCAATAACCCTTTATTCTGCATTCAAATTCGACCTTCCAAAATGAATCACTTCGCACTTTTCCAGGTTGAATTCCATCTGCCACTTCTTTGCCCAGCTTTGCATCCTGTTAATGTCCCATTGCAGCCTCCA